GATGTCTTCTGATCGGCCATCAGTTGGGCAATCATCGTCTTGATGTCTGCTTCATCGTTCTTTGCAGGTTGATGCGCTCGGTAACCCTGATCCTGCTGCCCGTACCCAGGATTCTGTTGCGCGTATCCCTGATTCTGCCCCTGAAAATATTTCGCCATGAATTCCTCCTCTAGCTCCTCCCATGTCGTAATCGAGTTTGGCTCAAGAGTATAGAGCCAATCTCTTGCCCGGTCCATCAGTGAAAAAGGAAAAGCCTCCAAGTATACATCTTCGATCGTCATGCCTCGTGCCTTTCTGATTGATCTGCACAGCATCTTGAACTGAGTCAAGTGAGCAATGGGATCTTCTGTGGGCCGCCCTCTGAAGCTCGCCTGACTGAACATCGTGATGCACTGTGGTGGTAGCTCAAAACTGTCAATGGGCGGTCTGTTGATGCATGATAGGAGTTGGGTGTGCTTCGGTGCAATGTAAGAACCCAAAGTCTCCTCTGCAACGTAAGTATCTTCGCCCTCGGTTTGCTGATCGTAGAGCGGATTCATGTGCTCTTGATTCTCGTGATGCTCCTCATCATGAACCGCATGGTCGTGCGAACTACTTGACCTCGACATAACTCCTCTTCTCTGCTGATTTCGGATGTCTCTCAAGGTACGCTCAATCTCTGGATCGTAGACTAGGTCTTCTCTCCGAGTAGAGCTCCGTGTCATGCACTAGAATCCTGCAAATCGCAAGGAAAAAGAAGAACTCGAAACCAAGTGAAGCCGCAAAAACCAAAGAAAGAAAAAGAAAAAGAAAAAGAAAAAGTAAACAAGCTAAGATCTAGAATCAATAAAGACCTAGAAATAGGCTAACCAGTCCCCGGCAGCGGCGCCAAAAACTTGATACGTGTGTATCGAGTCTAGAATTTATAACCCGATTCACAACTCACCGCAAGGATACGGATCGTCGTAACACGGGGTCGAACACGAGGACCGGTTGCTAAATCCAAATCTAGATCGAAAATAGATCAAAGCAAGCAAGCAAGTGGAAGTGATGGTGGAAATAAGTGGAATCAATGGAAAATAAAATAAGAAAGCAAATAAAAACAAGTGACCTATCAAACAAGGATGACTACGGGCGTCGGGATCGTATTCGCGTGTATGGGTATTTACTAAGCATGCATGAATAACGATTATGACTTGTATTCGGGAATCATCAAGCAACAAAGATAGAGAATTCACCTCTCGGTCTACTAACTCCCTACCTACAGAGTAACTCGTCAATCTCTCGATCTATTCAAGTTAACCCTAGGTGCATAAAGAACGCTATCATCAACCCTAGATCGATTAAACCATATCTCTATGTGAATAATACGATCTATCCTATTGATTTTGATCCGAAACAAACCCATATCTCTATGTGGTTCAGAATCCAAGATAATTGATCAAGGGGTTAGCAAACATCAATCCAATAAAAACGCAAATCAATAGAACCGAAACAAATCAAAACCGAAATCCAAGTTAGGGTTCAAACATACCCAAAACACATACGAATCCCTAACCCATAGTCATGGATCTACTCAAGGTTCATGGAAAATAATAGAAAGAACAGAGAAAAAGAGATAAAAGAAGGGATAGAAAAGCTCATGTCGATGTCTAGTCTTCACGATCGAATCCTCCTTCTTCTTCCCGAAATCCCGTGAACTTCGATTCTTCTCTCCCCAAAAGCTCTCCAAAAATCTGTATCTAGGTGTTCTCTGAGGTTCTCCCCTCTACTAGGACGTGGCTAGGGCTTTTTTATAACCCTACGGTGGCTCCCAAGAGTTCTAATCCCATTCCAATGCTGAAAATCGCGAATTAGGGTTAACTGGATCCGGACCGATTCCAGGTGGATCCGGACCGGATCCAGATTCCTAGGCCTGTGCTCGCTGTCTTGATTCGGACCGGATCCAGTTGGATCCGGCCCTGCGCTGGCAGTTTTCTGGTCTTCACGAATTCGCTCTTTCCAATGGTACAAGTCTCGCACGATTTGGACTTCTGTAGAGAAAGTTATTGATGTCGCAACATGAGTACCTCATCCGGACTTCTCCTTTAACGCTCCAATTAGCTCCTTTTCGAGTCCAATCATCTCTGAAACCTGTAACTCTGCAAAACTAGAGCACAACCGGGTTTTGTATCCTAACACGCCTAGAATGCCTATGAATGCATGTGATTATCCTATAAAACCTAGACAAACTCTCATCAAAATATAGAGAAGAATAGGAGTTATCACCTACCAGTAAAAAAAATCACGAAACCGGGGAACATGGGGACCCACGCTGAGGATAACTTGTCAGACCTATTTTTTTACTTTTCCGCCGTCAATTGACCCCCAATTTCGGATTTGCGCCGAAACATAAAAATAATTTAAATATATATTTTTTTCATTTCCATGAAAAATAAAAATAAAAAATAATTCACATTGTAACTCATATGATCCAAAATTATAAATAAAAATAATTGAAGAAATTTTTTTCTCCAAAATAAAAATAATAAAATTAATTAAAAAAATTATTATACTCAGAAATAACCATTTAATATATTCAGAAATAATCATTTCATACATATGAGGTATAAATAATATTTTTCGTCCTCATAAATAAAGAAACACGATACTTTTTATCTTTCACATATGAGGGTGTGCTCAATGATCGAATTTCTCATAGACACTGACACACAATTGAGAACGAACCATAGATCCTTCTTGTCTTTCACCCTCACCGTGGGGCTAAAGGTGTGATCCTTATACCACTCATGTAGCACTTTATCAATATATTTCGCAACTTTGGAAAACATGTACAACAAGATATGCACATTAGACTCGGACCATATTCAAATATAGAATTTGAAATTTATATTTTTTACTTAATTTTTAATAAACTTTTCTATAATTTTTATCTAAAAAAATAATAACATTGCAATGTTCTCCGTATCAGATGATCTTGCAACAGAAATCCACACAAATTGAATATTAAATTTAATGTTATAATCGTATAGATGTAAATCTAAAAATTATCGATGGAAATTACAATAATCATATAAAATCTTAAATTCATAACATATTATATATAGAAGATATTATATAAATTAATTAATATTTTTTATGATTAAGGTATTTCATCACTTTATATATCATCATATACAAGAATTTATATGAATGCATAATTCAAAATCATCAAAAATTTATTTTTTACACATCGAAAAATAGTAAATATTGTGAATAAAGTCATCAAAAATAAATAATTGATTTAATAATATATATATAAATTTAATAATATGATTTAACTTTATATTATATATATATACCACTTTTTGTTATATTCATATCAATAATTTTCTCTGATGAAAAACAAACAATTTATATTAATAATAAGAAAAGAATAATCTGCGGATCGCACGGATCTTAACTAGTCGGAGGAGAGAGAGAGCATAACGGAGAAGAGAGAGAAAGCATAACGGAGGAGTGAGAGAGAGCAAAACGGAGAAGAAAAAGAGAGCAAAACAGAAGAAAGAGAGAGTAAAACGGAGAAGAGAGAGCAAACGAACGAGAGAGAACAAACCGAAGGAGAGAAAAAACACAATCTTGGATGAGAGAGAGCAAATCTGAAGAGAGTGCAAGTAAATCGAAGGAGAAACGAAGAAAATCGGAGGAGAGAGAGTGAGCAAAACGGATGAGAGAGAGCAAAATGGAGGGGAGAGAGAAGGAGCAAAACGGATGAGAGATAAAGTATAATCTTGGATTGGAGAGAATAGAGAAATCGTTTTTTCAATTTTAACACATTTTTACTTTTTTTTATTTTAAAAATTTTGGGTATTATGGTCTTTTTCATTAAAAAAAATAGGGTTATAAATATCTTTTAGTTGTTGCAATTGATTTTTTTTAAAAAAAAAACTAAGGTTTGAAGGATAGACATTTAAGTAGAGATAGTATTTTAAGGGTATTCTTGCTATATTCATCGAAACATCTAAAATTGTTACATCAATTACTCTCCCCGACATGTCAACCAATAATGGCAACACCACCATCCCATCCGTCGTAGGTTGGGGGGGGTCGATGGAACCAAGGAGGAAGATAGGGGCTTTATTGAAAAAACTTAAAAAGTTGGGGGTTCTTAATACAACAAATATTTTAATTGGCGAGGAGCAAGTGGGAGGCTTCCTCACGAATAGCCACCCATGCCTCAGTAACGTGCTCCTCCTCCGTCAACGATGCTCCCACCGCAAAGCGCAGCACTGTTTTCCCCGACAGCACCTTTTCACCATTCCAAGCTCAAAAAACATTATTAATTACAACATCATAATGGAAACTTATAAATGATTCGACCGACTTTGATATATATATATATATCCCATGTTGATATGTATGGGGGCATATGCCCCATTTGTGTGTGATTGAAATTTTATAATTTTTTCATAAATTTTAACTAAATTTTATAAATGCCCCCATAAAAAAATTATGTTTGTCACATGTAAAATTAATTTTGCCTCCAATTAAAAACCCATATATATATATATATGATTCCTTTTGTATATGTTCAGTAAAAAAATAAAGGGATAAGTTATTAAGTTACACTCACAGTGTGAGAGAGGAACAATTTCCCAGTAGAGTTCACTGCTTCCAACAGGCTATGGTTCCGTGTGTTACACGTCTCTTCGTCTTCTTCCTCCTTAGGCGCCAGGCGGAAGCATACTAACGAAAACGACCTTGGAGTAACCACCTAATAATTTGTATTATATGAAACAATGAAGCCGATATCGGATAATTAGTTCTTTTGCCCCCACATATTCAAGGAAGACGTTACATATATATATATATATACACATGAATTTACCTCGAAGAGTGGATCTTGTGCTACAAGTTCCTCGAAATGTTTGGCCAGATTGATATGGTTTCTTATATAGCTTTTCAAGTTCTCGGATCCATAGAGACGCAAAACCATCCATAGTTTCAGCGATCTTACACAGCCCAAATCAAACAAACAAACACGTCAAAAATTGATATACTGAAACTATACATACATACATACATACATACATACATACATATATAGTAAAGAACCTAAAACTCCGGGAAAGAGGGATTTGCCAATCTTTGTAATCGACCACCGAGTCTGAACAAGCAGCCTGCTGATATATGCATTGATCTAAGCGTTAGGAACTTTCACAAAAATTACTTCTCGTTTCATACTCCCGACCCTGGAATTAGTTTGGGCCCCGGTCTAGTACACCGCATTACCAAAAAAAAAACTACAAAGATATATAGACTCGCCTTGTACTTGAGATACTCTGGGTTTGTGTTGAGAGCCTGAATGAGAGAACGTCTATCCTGTTTTTATTTTGTTTGTTTTTCAATAACCAAATGGAACATTTCAATATATATTTAAAAATAAATGTTATAGTAATGTTGAATTTTCAAAAAAAAAAAGGGCACCTTGACCCAAAGGGGAGAACAGTTGTGACCGGTGAAGAGCCATTTATGAGCATTCATGTTGAAGGAGTCAGCATCTTCGACGCCATCAATGTATTTCCTCAACTCTGGACATATGCAGGCATTCCCCGCATACGCGGCATCCACATGCAGCCACATCCCATTCCTCTTTTTTCATTTAAAGAAATTATATCAATTATTTAATATTAATTCATCAAAAGGGTATGCTTGAAATGTACGTATAAAATCACCTTAGCTATCCTTCCTAAATCGGGTACTGGATCAACCGCAGCTGAAGACGTGGTGCCAACCTGCAAAGTGTTATCGATTAGGTCTCAAACCCTAACGTTAATAGGTATTTAATCACGTTGGATGATTTTTTTTTCTTAATTACAGTAGCACATATGAAAAATGGGACGAGTCCCTTGGCCACGTCTCGAGAAATTTCTTCCTGAACCAAATCCGGGGATAAAGCGTAATTGGTAGAAGAATCCGTTTTCAACAGTCTGCAATTTTCCTTGCGGATTCCTCCAATCTGTAACGAAATCAATGGACGAAATAAACACTATCCAAATACATATATATAAAAGAAAAAAGAAAAAAGAAATTAATTAAGGACCTGACAAGCCTTGAGAAAACTAGAATGAGTTTGGTCGGAGGCATAGACAACGAGGTTGGGGAACTGATGCTGGCCGAGCTTTCTCAAAAACTTGTCACGAGCTGCTACCAAAACCACCAGCACTGCTTCGCATGCTGTCGCTTGTATCACTCCTCCGCCGCCATTTCCTGTATTATACGTATTTTATGATTTGACGTTTATTATGTACGTGCATACCATGCATGCATGAATGATGGATCTACGTAAATGTATATACGTACCATGATTTGATGAGAGGAAGTGGGGAGGGAGGCTGAGGAGCTTGGCAAGCCAATCAAGAACAACGATTTCGAGTTCGGTGGCAACGGGGGAAGCAAGCCAAGTGAATCCCAAGACGCCGAGTCCAGCGTCCAGCATCTCTCCCAACACTCCGCCCACGCTCGTGCTCGCCGGAAAATACCCGAAATATCTCGGGCTTTGCCAATGCGTTATCCCCGGTATTATCTTCCTCTCCACATCTCCAATATATATATTTATACATGTATCAGTATTATTATTATTATTATTATTATTATTATTTACGAAAAAAATTGTTCTCTATGGTACGTATCAATAAAAAAAAAGTCTATTTATTTATCGTACCATGGAGAACATCTTTCAATGATTCAGGGTGCTCAGGTGCTGAATCGGGCAGCAACTCATGAAGATAACCCGGCTGCATCCAGCATTGTTATTATTATTATTATTATTATTATTATTATTATTATTATTATTATTATTATATAATATATATATATATATATATATGTAATTAATGTAAGTAGGGTTCCATATATATTATGATATATATATATAAAAAAGATAGAGAGATTAAATAAGAAACCTGAACTTGGCTACGGACAGGAAATGTGTCGACGGATTTGTAATAATCAGCAATGAAATCTACCATTCTGTGTCCATACTCTCTCAGCTGCTCACTCTCCATCGGCTTCAAACCCATTTTCCCGTTTTCCCTGTTTTTATATATTCAATAAAAAATAACAACATAAACAGCCATTCCACCGAAGCATTCCTATGTCTAAGGAAATATAAAAAACCCAAATAGTGAGAGAGGAGAGAGAGACGCGTATTTACATTTTTTCTTCGGTGTTAATAATAATCCTAAGAAACTGTTGTTTATGAATGAATAGAGCGATCAAGAACGATGGACTGCCTATATATATATATAGGCAACACATTTAGTTTTCCTTAAATGAATGGATGTTAAGGTCCATACGTCATGGGCAGCTCTGAATGGTATTCAATAAAGTCACACGAGTTTCAAATGACTGATTTAGAATCAGACGAGTATGGTTTCACGTTGTATTTAACCGAATTAATAATAAAGTGAATTTTGATTATAGGGACGCTAATAAGTGGGGTCACCAGTTCATTCATATTTTTAAAAATTTTATAACATTTAATAATTTGTTTTGTTCAAATTGATTCTATGTATTTATCATAACCATAAATATATATATATATATATATATATATATATTAATTTTGTATTCGATTTGAAAGAAAAACTAATCCATAAATTTCTCAAAAGAAATTTTACATCGATATCTTATGATACCGATAAAATTTCAATAACAATGTGTAAGATTTTCAAATATAAAATTTTTGAAATTGTCTTTGATTTTATCCATTACCACCGCGACGGTTGAGAGATATCTTTTAGCGATAAATTTTGTAAAGAGAGTTTTGCACAATCGAATTAGTTATCACTTGTCTTGTTTGTTTATTCGAAAAATATGTATTTCATATAGTTACAAATAAAGTTGTTATTGATAGATTTTAAAAAAAATAAAGAATCTTATAATTTATGATGTAAATATTATATTTTTATTAATTTTTTTTAAAATTATATATATACACTATTGTTGCGGTGGAAAAATTTTCAGGATAACTCTCACTCTCTAATAATATAACAATAGAATGAACGAAAATAAAGTTATATCTGAAGATTTTGATCATTTGGTTTGTGATTTTCCAAATCGACACGTGATAGAGTTTTCTCTCTAAGGAATGTGGACTTGGAGAATCGTTCTTAACGTATAACTCGGGGATCATAACTTCTTTGCATGAGGAAAACTTACCAATTAAACCTATCACGCATTAATAATTGTCTAACGGTATTTATATATTAGCACGAGATGTCAATTAGATCATTTTTTTTACCAAATTAAAAGTTAGTTCAATTTAATGTTATTGGCCCACATTCAATTAATGAAAGAGTCTGATATAAATACCCCAATTTTGCAAAATGTGCTAAATAAATATTAACTTTTAATTTTATCTAATTAGTATATCAAATGTTAAAACATTCTAAATTGATATCTCAATACAATTCTCAACCCAACTCTTATGACGATGTATAAATTAGATGATAATTTTTAACATATAAACGGAACTCATGAAATCGATGATAATTCTCAAACTCGACTATAATGATAATATATAAATTGAGTTAATTTCTAATATAAAAAATAAATCGAGATTATAAATTGCTCTTAATTTCATGAGTTGAAGTATCTATTTGAAATATTTTAATATTTTAGATATCAATTTGAAATATTTTAACATTTTAAATATCAATTATACAAAATTAAAAGTTTATATATTGATTTGGCATATTTTGTAAAGTTGAGACATTTATGTGAAATTTTTCTTTATTGAAAATAATGCAACAAGAAAAATTTGTACAGTATCAAGATAAATTGGTGTTGACGAAACAAAATGGAGAGTTAAAAGAGAAGAATACCATTGGGAGATATAATCAAAATATAGTAAATGTGACACTTGAAGGAGTGATACGTAAATAATGCATCTTGTATTATATTCTTTATAATATTTTCAAAAAATATAATTATTTTTATGTGAAAATTCCTCATTTTTTATATTCTATCTAAAACATTAAAATGATTTTTATGTATCTCTCACTACCTCTCTTCTCATATTCTTAAAATCTATTTCTTAAATCATACGTTTATTTATTTTTTAACTTTTTATATAAATATTGTTTTTTTATTAAATAAATCTAGATATTACTACACGTGAATACCTACTTATACATTGTTTCTAATACTCGTACTCCGAATATCTGAAAACCTTGAAAGCAGATATAAGTTATAAAATAAAAAATATACACAACTTATCGAATAGAAATACCAATATTATGATTTCCCTCGATATCCTATATGTATTCACCGTTAATGCAAATTAGGGGAAATGACCCACCTTATAATGGTTTAATGGTCAACCTTGTCCGTCTCTCCGCAAGGTTAGTCCATAACGGATTAGATGTTTTATTACCTGATCTCGTATCCGTGAAATCAGATAACTAAATCCGAAAACCTGTGAGATAATTATCAGGTATCCGAACCCGAATATTTATAATTATTTTTAATCAATGTTTTAAAATATATTTATATATACATACTCAAAATCATTCAAAATAAATTTAAATTGTATTTATATCTAAAATAAATTTATTTTAAAAAAATACATCATAAATATATCCAATAATATTTACATAATCATTAATATTAAATAAAATAATACAAAATCTAATAAAAATCTAAATTTTAAAACATAATTGTGTTTTGAATATAAAAATCCTAATTGTAACAGTAAGAAACCGTCTTGAATATAAAAAAAAAAAATAGGGAAAATGTTGGGAACGTACCACGTTGATAATTGTGGAAATCGTGTCACTTTCAAAATTAGGTATGAAAGGCGATGGGTGAGTCCAAATGGGCCGTGTGATGCGATAATCGTCCCTTGAGATCACCGCCGCCTTTCTTCGTCACGTGTTTCTGCCATCCCCAATATTAATGACTTTAAATGTCATTTTTACTTCACGGCATGACCCTGCCTTTTTTATAAAAAAAACATCATTATCTCATAATCTTATAATTGTATCTTTCCAAAAATACTTTTACCTTTTTAATTATTATTAAATTTAAAATAAAAATATTTCACCTCTCTCTCTCCTCTTCCAAGCTCTCTCTCTCCGTTCGTATATGTCGAACCTGCAAACTCTCTCTCTCTCCTCTTAAACGTTATCTGTCTCTAAACTCTCTTCATCTACAGCCTTTTTTTCAGCTAATTTGTTGTGAAAAACAAGCAAAAGCTTGAGACAATTCATCGATTAAACACATATATGAATAATCGATAAGTATTTTTCTAATATTCATTATTAATTGTGGGTATTTGTGATTTGTTTTTGTCATCTTTATATTTAATTCATATGATACAGATGAAACAAATATGACATATGCATCAGCAATACCATGATTCACGTGACTCAAACCGGTCGAAATCGTTAAATTTGTGAAATTCGTCAAAATGGAAAATTCGGTAAACTGGCCATACATACGTGTCGAAATGGTCAACTGGTCATACTCCTAAACTGGTCATACTAGTCAAATTGGTCAAACTGGTCATATTCGCAAAATTGGTAATACTGATCATAATCATCAAATTGGTCAAACTGGCCATACTCATAAAATTTGTGATATGATATGATTATTACTTTGTTCACTTTTAAAACGATGGATTATGCGATTTCGAACAAGTATGACTGTCTGACCAAGGTATGACCGTATGACCGTTTGGGTACAAAAAAGAAAGGTCTAAATTAAATTTAAACTATTTAAAAAGTTGTATAGGGATTATAAAAATGCTACTGCATGGTTTTGGAGTTCTAATTTCACATGAAAAAAAACTCTCAACATAAGTCAATTGTATCCAATGTATTACACAAATACTACTAGTACTCTAGGTCTTCTTTGGAAAAGGTTACATTCACATCCAAAAAAAGTGTTCAATCCATATTGTTACGACCAATTTCAATTTGAGAAATTTGTCATATGATATGATTATTACGATGTTAACACTTTTAAAACGATGAATCAAGCAATTTCGAACAGGTCTGACCGTCTGACCAAGGTATGACCGTGTGACCGTATGACCATTTGGACACGAAAAAGAAAGACGTAAATTAAATTTAAACAATTCAAAAAGTTGTATTGGGTTATAAGAATACTATTGCATCATTTTGGAGTTCTAATTTCACATGGAAAAAAAAAATCTCTCAACATTAGTCAATTGTATCCAATGTGTTACACAAACACTACTAATACTCTAAGTCTTCTTTGGAAAGAGTTACATTGACATCCAAAAAAAGTGCTCAATCCATATTGTTACGACCAATTTCAACTTGAGAAATTTGTCATATGATATGATTATTACGATGTTAACACTTTTAAAACGATGAATCAAGCAATTTCGAACAGGTATGATCGTCTGACCAATGTATGACCGTCTGACCGCATGACCGTATGACCATTTGGACACGAAAAAGAAAGACGTAAATTAAATTTAAACAATTCAAAAAGTTGTATTGGGTTATAAGAATACTATTGCATCGTTTTGGAGTTCTAATTTCACATGGAAAAAAAAATCTCTCAACATTAGTCAATTGTATCCAATGTGTTACACAAACACTACTAATACTCTAAGTCTTCTTTGGAAAGAGTTACATTGACATAAAAAAAAAATGCTCAATCCATATTGTTCCGACAAATTTCAACTTGAGAAATTTGTCATATGATATGATTATTACGATGTTAACACTTTTAAAACGATGAATCAAGCAATTTCGAACAGACATGACCGTCTGACCAAGGTATGACCGTATAACCATTTGGGCACGAAAAAGAAATCCGTAAATTAAATTTAAACAATTCAAAAAGTTGTATAGGGGTTATAAAAATATTGTATCCAATGTGTTACACAAACACTACTAGTACTTTAGGTCTTCTTTTGAAAGAGTTACATTGACATCCAAAAAAGGTGCTCAATCCGTGTTGCTACGACCAATTTCAACATGAGAAATATGTCATACGATATGATTATTATGATGTTAACACTTTTAAAACGATTAATCGTGCGATTTCGAACAAGTATGACCGTCTGACCAAGATATGACTGTATAACCATTTGGGCACGAAAAATAAATACGTAAATTAAATTTAAACAATTCAAAAAGTTGTATAGGGGTTATAAGAATATTATTGCATCAATTTCGAACGAGTATGACCATATGGCTAAGGTATGACCGTCTAACCATAATATGACCGTCTGACTATTTGGACACGAAAATAAAAGGTCTAAATTAAATTTAAATGATTCGAAAAGTTGTATATGTGGATGACTATAGTATGATCGTCTGACAATTTAGACACGAAAATAAAAGGTCTAAATTAAATTAAATTTAAATGATTTGAAAATTTAATATGTTACAAAAATACTACTAATATTTTATATTTACAATGAAAAAGTATGATCAATATGACCAAAATCTGATCGGTATAATCGATATGACATTTCGAGAGCTAAAATTTCTTTGAGAATTTTTATCAAACATTTTCCATGCATTCTCAAATTCTTCAACTTTGGAGTATCGAATCTCCACTGTATAGGAGAAATTTGATTAGTGTAAGCTTAAATTATATTATTCCATTACATTGAATCGAATCAAAATAAAACCCTAATAAGCTACAAAATTCTATATATAAAGAACATGTTTGATCAACACTTTTAAATTCATAAATTCATAATTTTTGAAAAAGTATGACTAGTATAGTCGTATGACGAGTCTGGCAGTATGATCGTATGATCAAAGTATAATCATCTAATAAAATATGATCGGTATGACCAAAGTCTGCTCGTCTGGCCAAATTCTGCCCGTATGACCAATATCTGATTGTTTGACCAAAGTATGATCGGTATGACCAAAGTCGGATCGTATGACCAAAGTCTGACTGTCTGACCAAAGTCTGATCGTGTAATCATTTGATTGTATGACCGATATTAAACTTGAAAATTTGTTATATGAGATGATTATTACCATGTTAAGATTTTTAAAATGACAAATTCATCAATTTTCAACAAGTTTGATCGTCTGACCAAAGTCTAGCTATATGACCAAAGTCTGATCGTATGATCAAAGTCTGGTCGGTATGATCATTTGTACATGAAAAATAAAGACCTAAATTAAGTTTAAACAATTCAAAAAATTATTTAAGGGTTATAAAAACACATTTTCATCGTTTTGGTGATCTAATTCCATGTGTAAACAAATCTATCAACTTAACCCAAAGTCTAACCGTCATATCAGACCAAATTCTGACCGTATGACCAAAGTGTGACCGATATGACCAAAGTCTGACCGATATGACCAGTATGTTGTTTTAAGAGCCAAAATTTCTATGAGGATTTTTATCGAACACTTTCTATACATTCTCAAATTCTTCAACTTTGGAGTGTCAGATCTCGTCATAGATAGAAATTTGACAAGTATAACAAGAAAACTAAGAAAATTGTTAATAGAATCGCAACGAAATCTCTTTGGGAGAAGAAAAAAATCAGAAAATGTTTGTGAGTTTTAATTTTTAGAAAAAGTGAAAGAATATCTTTTTCACTCCAAAAGTTTTTTGCCGGTTCACATATAAAAGTGCCACGTATTCAACTTCATAATGGCTAAATTGGTATTTTCAGCATTTTTGTTTTTTTTTTTAAACCCTAACCCTAGAAGGTCATGCCGTGAACTACAAATCGACATTTAGGGTTATTTTTGCAATTTTGCCTATTTAAGAAACCTGCCTTTGCAGCGTACTCTTTTGTACGCACGTGCATGATTCACAAATCCACGTGCCAAATAATGCTTCATATACATACATAAACCGCACTTTCTAATCTCATCGGTGGTTGTTTCTTTTTACATTTCTGTATATATATAAATGCATAGACTGTCTGAAATAACATTTATATATAAAAAGAGTGTATTGTAGTTCATCATAATCATAAGTTGAATTTTGTTTTTTGTTTTTAATCAACGTTCGATTTCTTTAAATAAAATAAAAAAAATATAAAAAATGAGTGATTTTAGGTGGGAATAAACGGACAATGGGTAGGGCCACGTGTGCATCGTGCGTGTGTATATATATATATATGTATATATACGAGTTACATCAACCGCATAAATTTGGCGTTTAGCTTAGAAACCCATCCGTTAAAATTCAAGAAAAAGTTGCTTTAAAAACAGCGAAGGATGATTCCTTTTTTGTAACCCAATAACAGTCTTCCGACAAGTGGTGATAAACCCTAGTCCACGTCACAACCTGCAAACCATGTGTAACGTAGACAACGAAATTCATATTATAATATGCCGAAAAACAACACTAAAAGCACGAGAAAAAGCTTACGTACCAATTTGTTAATTTCAACACCCAACCAAATCATAACCACACCACAATCAATACATTTGAATATTTTGGAATCAGTTCTTTTTCTTCTTCTTTCGAAAAAGGATTTTTTTTTTAAATAAAAAAAACAAATCTCTTAAAAAAGGAAGCCGGATGCTCTGTCGTTCTCGGAATGCTCGAAGGTGATGATACTGATTCGGACAATCTGGTCTATGCTCGATCGACCCTTCTCCAGCAGTATTGGTAAAACGACACTGCTTGGCCCATTTCTTTATATGGGCCTATACTGGGCCCAAATATGAAACTATATTTTGTACAAAGGAAAATGCTGTCATTCTGTTCAAGCCCAGCCCATTAGTCTCGGTACTCGCGGAGACGGATCTCTCTCTCTCTCTCTCTCTCTCTCTCTCTCTCTCTCTCTCGATCGCTTGCTCGTGCAACTGAGGAAGAAGATGCAGGCGGTCTCCAGGAGATTAGCTTACCGTCCGCTCGCCGGAGGAGCTCCGATTTATTCTTCGTCTTACCTCAACTCGATCTGTGAAGGCTCGTCTCACCGTTAAGTTTCTCCGATTAATTTTTTATTCGATTCGATTCAAATTTCTGGGCTTTTCGAGTTTCGCGCAAATGAGATCGGCGATTCGTGATTGTTGTGTTGCTTTTTCTTCTTCTTCTTTTGTTATTGTTCTGCAGATCATGGGAAGGATAATCGGCGTTACTCTTCTTCACTCGCTGCCAAGGGCGTGGGCCACCTCGCCCGCAAGGGTACTGGTGGGAGATCTTCCGTCAGGTATATTTAGTTCCGGGAAAATGCTAGAGAATTCTCGTGGAGAGGGGGTGATTTAATGTGTATTAGGTTACGTGAATTTAGTCTGCATTTTGTTGTTTAGCTGTTAAATTTTATCACTTTGAGCTAATATCCCGTCTGAACTGGATAATGTTTTTGGGGAAATGGAATCATCTGCAGGGTTAGCTTTAGAACAGACAATTTGTGTGGTTTTCTTTAAGATTTGTGTTCTTAAGCATGCATGCCTTTAGTTGCAACTTCAGTTGGAGTTTGTCTTTGCCAGTGGCATTATAGCTACGGTGTTTGGAGCCACGGGATTTCTGGGCCGCTATCTTGTGCAGCAGCTTGGTGAGTAAAGAGTTGTCTTTCTTTTATCCTTTTGGAGCTGTTGCTTTTTAGTAAAACACGCTTTTTTTTCCTTCCCTTCTTTGTTTCCCTTTCGTGTGAATCATTTGATGATACCTAATTAATCTTCTTTTTTTCAGCTAAAATGGGATCTCAGGTGCTCGTTCCTTTCCGAGGCTCAGAGGACGATCCTCGTCATCTCAAGTTGATGGGTGATTTAGGACAGGTTATCTTTTGCTTCATAGAAGTTTTATTAAGTTATGACGAGACTTATAAAAAATTACAGGCCATTAAATTTCCTCTATGTTTGCTTCCTTTGTATTTCAGATAGTACCGATGAAATTCAACCCAAGGGATGAGGACTCTATTAAGGCAGTCATGGCTAAGGCTAATGTTGTTATCAATCTTACTGGTAGTTGATTTCTCCTGTATTGACATTTGAAACTCCTTTAAACCATGATGTTCTATAACAAAGTGGGTGACATTTTATTCCCATGGGCAGGAAGAGAGTACGAGACCAGAAATTTCAGTTTTGAGGAGGTGAACCATCACATGGCTGAAAAACTTGCTTTGGTATGTTTCTGAATCCTCAAAAGTGATCTCCAAGTAATCTGGTAAAAAGATTCATTGTTCTTGCTCCTGCCATTATTGCTTATTCAAAAGAGCGG